ACTTAAAATCATCACAAAAATCAAATCAATTTTGTTTTTGTAGTTGCCGACAAACTGATCGCGATTCAGCCACATTTCGGCTACGATACCACGGAGATTAACTAATTCATGGATACGAATCAAGATCGGCAGCCGGTGGTGTAGCGTGGAACGAGCAGCACACAGACAAGAGCGGAGATTAAGAGGTGCCAACGCGTCCGCTGTCTGGCGCTGTGGCTGAGCTGAGTTTCTACAACTGCCTAAAATCGTTTTCTTTTTCTTTTAAGCTTGCGGTAATGAACCGATCCCATTATCCACCTACTTAGTCAGCGTTGCTGTTGTTGTTTTAATGGAGTGCATTATATGTTTCAGCGTACTTACGCACAAACATTCGGCTAAAATACAAAAGTCGCAAGGCGCCTTGAAGGTGATGCTGCACGTGAAAGAGGTATTAAGAGGAATGAAGGCGAGTGTAAGCGAAGGGAGAAGAAAGCGGGTAGAATGTCACTTGCGGTTGTATAAACAAAAACGTGCATACGGCTCCAAGCATATGTATAATATATATACTCGTACCTAAGTGAATAACTCCGTGGCATCCCAAATCCACTTGTCAGGGAAATGAGCTGGAAATGGTAAGCGCCATCTTCACTGTAACAGCAATGAAACATTGTACACATACAAGTATACCTTACATTAGTATGTGTGAGTACTGCTGCTCAAATTGCTTCAAAAAGCCGACGGCAAGCCGCAAGACGCAAGTCGTACGGTACAAACCGCCAAACCCACAAACCAAAAGTCTAAAAGGCTCTTTTCATATACCAGTGCATATAAGAGTATGTACATACACATACTTGCGTCCCTTGATATTGATAGATTGTGCTGCATTCAAGAGTGGAGTGTGGAGTGGCACTTAGATTGTGTTCTTATTGTAATGACAAACCTTCCTCCTCTTCACGCTCTCACCCGGCTTGGGATTAATTGAAATTAGTTGTGCCATGACGTTTGTTTGTTTTTTAACTAATTGTTTGTGCCGCCCTTCATTACTTTTGTCGTTGTTCTTTCAATTGTCTATTCAATAATTTCTTTTCTTATTGCTACACTCAATTGCTGTGGAGGGAACGGGAATCAAAAGGAAGAAAAAATTATTTGGAGCCAAAGCAATTATCGATTGTCTGACAATGAATTGTGTGCGCGTAGATACTCTGCGCGATACGAGGAGTGGATACTTGGCTTATAGATTCGCTGGTGCGCCAGAAAGCTGCTTAGCTGGCTGTTTGGTGAGAACAGATGATCGATAATGCCTCTATTGCCGTTTGACAAATCATTAAAATTATGACTGCACTATGCAGAGGAAAAGTACTTACTACCGGCAGCTGGTCGACACCACAAATCTTCTCATAGGTCGTGTCTAGAGAATACGAGCAATCTGCAAGCTTAAATTAGTTGAGAACCAAGATTGCACAACTACACAATAGAAGTTAATATCTGTGGTTTGATTTAGAAGTGAAAATGGGCTGAAATTTAAATCATTAATAAGTATGTATTTTAAAAGAAAAAGATTTGAGGAAAAAAATATTAAAATCACAAAGCAAAAAAACCTTAAATTCAAAGATAAGCAATATTTTGCGTTAAACAGCTAAACCAAAAAAATGTTCCGCATCACCGTTACTTATAATTATCTCAAATTAAATGATTTAAAAATTTATTGACATGTAAACATAAATATCTGCTACTACAGCCTTTACCAATACATATTTACATATGAAATAGCTATTTATGCATTATTAATTAATTTACGCTCACCCTAATTAGCACTCGTCGGTTCGTTATGAATAATTTTATTAAAAAATTTGTTAAACGTCTGCATCCTGCTGCGTTAATAGGTGCTAATTTCATTATTAATGCTTCTAGATGTTGATGATGGCCAACAAAACGGAATATATATGAATATATACACATGTACAATACATACACGTATCCATGTGTAAACGCCATGAAATGAGATCCGCCACTTAAAAGCGTCGATCGACGTGAGCGCAAAGCGATAAACAATCGCCACAGGTGAGCAATCAGAGGCGAGTAATCAAATATGCTCACACATAAATACACTACATCTACTTAAATATATATGAACATAGCACTTTGATAGCCATCAGCTACCAGCAGTGGGTTAGGTTCTGTTTGCGGCACGCGTCTTCCAGGAAGGCGTTGACGAAAAGATTTTTATCAAACACACAGCACAGAAGCTGACTGAAGAGGGAAGGAATTTATAGGTTTAATAATTTTTTTTTTTTTTTATTTCAACAAGAAGGCAGAATGCTCTGTGATGAAAGTGGTGAAATCTTTGGTTTTATTCTTAACTTTTTTTTTAAGGGAATAAACCGACTATTCTTCAGCTTTTTATTATTATATAATTCATTCATGTATATTGAGACACATGAAGAGACGGTTGATGCGTTCAGAGCACATGTTTTGGAGATACGTCAATTATATTAGCAAAAAATCTTCGACAATTGGTTCAATTTGTTAGAAAAACATTAAGGCGAACACCAAGAACTGATGGGAGAGCTCGACTGAAAGTCGATTCAGCTAATTTTATATAAATAAATATGACCTAAAGAAAAACGTGTGCGCAGTGGCAAAGCCGTGAAGTTTACTTAAAGAGTCACAAGCTTAACACCTGTCATTGGGGACTAACACGTTCGAGTAGAGCGATATTCGCTTGTGGAGCGGCTAAAGAGGTAAAGTCCAGCGGATATCCACCGTGGTACTGGTATTATAACAACAAACAGGAAATCTCATCACGTAATTTTTTTCATAGCAAAAGTAGTTCTCACTTAGTTTATTGCCTTCCATACTGACAGAGCCAAATTATCGTTCTGGTTTCGTACTAAAATCTGTCACCATTTTTTCTATTAAAAGTTTATGCTCAAGAATTATGAAAAATTAAAATTATTTAAAATACATATACTTAACATAATTATTTATTATTGTATACATAGATATGTACAAAAATATTTCTATTCATCACACTTATACTTTGTGACTATTTGCAATTGTGAGCTGATACGCATAAGAGCAACAAACCATAATAGTATAGCCTTATTTTTTTATTATCAACGCATGAATGCCTTTTGATAGTAGATACAGTGGGAACCAAATAATGTCGCACAACTATTGAGCGATAGCAACTTATCATTGTAAGCTCCCAAGTAAAATAGATGTGTAATATTATATTTACGGGCAAGCGATAGGCTTTCGCTGATATTAACTACTGGTCGTCATTGGGGTCACTGGCAAAGTTAATGGAATATTGTTGCCTTCTACAAAGCTACTGAGTTGTATGTGTGACTTAAGAAAAACCGAATATAAGCCAAACTGAACTGAACTTAGAACTGAAGGTGCATACATACATATGCATATAAGGTAAGGGCTACAAATACTGAGACTGTGTATCGTGGTATATTTATGAGCAGTATGCCTCTTGCTTAAAGCTGCTCCTGAACGGATATCCGATGTAAAAAAAAAAACATTTTCAAATCAAAGATATCAAAAATTAAATCTCTATTATTTGCGTTTACAGTCCTGTAAACATCGGTCGTGGAAGACTGCGAAACCGAAAAATGGAAGCTGTCGCACTTTAAAAAATGACACTTTATCTCATCGACTTATCCTGGTAATAGAGTTTTTGAGAAGAAATTCATGTTCGCCATTATTAACAGTGAAGCTAGTTCAAGTGCGATGATTTTTAGATTTTTGTATAGTCTCGTTTTCCATGGGACATACCTTATGCAAACCTACAACAATGCGTTATGCACAATAGTATGAATATAGACGTCCAAGTGGCAGTGCTGACTGATTACTGACAAGTCGATTTTTGACTCACTAGTTCGTTATCACAAAAAGTCGCTATAGACTTCAAGAGAAGCGGGCGTTAAAAGAGAAGAGGGAACTTAAGACAATGACGATGGCGGTAACTTGTGCGCAAGTAAAATGTATCTAATTCAAATTCTAGACATTTTAAGTGATAATTTAAATTAAAATAAAAAGCCAGAACAAAAAAGTACGAATAACGAACTGTAATAGGCAACACAGTCGCGATATCTATGAGAACTTCAGCGTGGCAAGTGTTGGTTGCAGGTGACATTTGCCTTTGGCAAGTCCATAAATTGAAGTATACATACATACATATATACATACATATATATAATAAATATGTATTCATTTGCGCACGCGTTTTCTGGTACCGGCGCACACATGCACATACGTGTATGTACATATATAGCTTGATAAGCCCAGTACGTTCGCACATTGGCATTTGTAGTTGAGCGCTCGATTTTCAACGAAATGCGTTCACCGTGGTTTGCCTCACTCCAGCCCCAGTCGCTGTTGCTCAGATAACAGCCCTGGCATTTTATGTACATATGTACATATTGTCGTCATATGTATGTAGTCATGTAAATATTTGAACTTTTTAAGCGTAATTATGGCGGAAATACACACGTTGTGCGCGTACGCCTGCTCGCATTTGGAGTCAATGACGAGTATTAAGTGCGTTGGGAACGCTTATGGACATAAAAACTTTTATTACAAAGACAATATCGACTTGGTAGTTAATTAATTTTCGAATTGGCTGGTGCCAGCACTAGACTGATCAGTTCACAGTTATCTTTAACAAATTATGAGGGCAAAAATACTTCGTTCACGCCGGACCGTTCTTGTGCTGCGAACAAAGGACTGTAACAACGAACCCGATTAATCAGTTCAAATTTTACTGGCATTTAAAATATAGTATGTTTCTTTATATTTTTCCATTCGGCTAACAAACCAATTAATACATGGGATTACCAATATTGTCAAAACGCTTTGGAAAGAGCCAAACACAGCCGCCTAACTCTGTTTCGATTTGTCAAAGTGTTTTTTCTTTACAAAAAAATTTGAATTTCCACCAATTTTCTACAATAAAAACAAACTTATTTATATCTATACACAAATGTCTGTATAAGCACTTATGCACTTACCACTGTTACCGCTAAAGCCGACCGGCGTCTGTTGTGACGCTTTGATCTTGACCGCTAATGTCCACTATTTTTTATCATATTGTTGTTTTTGCCCAGTGTAGTTTGTTTGGTTCCAAAAGCGCAAGGAAATATGAAAAAAGAATAAAAAAAAAATATATTCCATAAAAACCCTTGTGGAGTACAATGAAAAAAATGTAGCAATAAAAATGTGACCACACTGTTGTGACAACATTTCGGCACGCGGGTATACAAATTTCTTTGCCCTGTCCCACACAAACCACGCGCCGGTGGTCATTTGGGACGCGCAGCAGTATTTATAGGCGCTGTCTTCGGTCGTTTCGTTTCGTTTGTCACCATTATTAGCGGTTGTGGTATGCCACAAGGTATACGCTTACTCAACAGCGCACTAATTCCTACAAGCGCCGCTTGTGGATACGGAAAGGTTGCCGAAAACAGGCAAGCAAAGGGCATAGCAAAGCTTTCAAAAGTTTTTTTTTTTTTTTTAGTTTTTTTTTCTGTCTTACAGAGTGAATATGTCGCTTTTCTGGCTGACATATGTAGACATATATGAATGTGCATATGAATGTGTGCGGTGCATTGGTGTCATTAAAGGGAGTAAACATTAAGTTAAATTCTGCAAATGAAAGTCATATTACATTCTCATGCCTATGGGGACATCTACGTGTATATACATACATCTACTAATACCGTCTCAAAATATCCCTTATGGCTGATTATTCCTTTCGTACATGCAACGAAAGCACTCCATAAAATTTTTTAAATTCAGAGGTTTGACAAGGCTCGAGATCAATGTCACATCTACCTGCATACGAGTATACATATACCATTTGACCAATATAGTCTTTGCCGTTTAAGGAGCCCATGTCTTGAGCTTTTGTAAAGTTTTTAGAAAACTCAAAATTCAATCGAGATATATGTACGTGTATGTATTATTATAACTATATAGAAGTTTAACTTCTAAAAATCAAAACATTTCATCTAAACCGATTTTGAGTCGAATGCAGGTTTATTCATTCGAAAAAGAGAGGAGAAAGAAAAAATTAATATCAAAAGTCAGCGAAATAACTTGAACCTCGATGGCCTTCTTATTAGACTACATTGTCAACTTCATACATATGTATTCACTAGGCTATTTTGCGTTTCGATTATGTTCCTGCTTCCCGTTCCATCACAATTACATTTAAGTATTCTAAGCAAAGATTGAATCGAAAGAAGAAGAGGAAATAGAAGACATTTTAGAAATCACCTATTTTCAAGTGAAACATAATTAAGCGGACATAAATTATTTTTGCATAACATTTAAAAAATATAAAAAAGTGTTTTTAACGTAAAATAGTATCAACAGCAGCGGCGATATTTCATGAGGAGAAGAAAAATGCAGACTATGATCATGCGGACAGAGTTGGAAGTAGCAATTTGCGAGACTTCTATTGAGATAAGTGACGAATTGTGCGCTAGATTGAACGAATTAAAATTCCTACAATATCTATTGCAGCTATACTTACCATTTGTGGGATGCATTTTGATGTTTTTTACAAAGAAAAGAGGGGCCTAGAGTTTATACTAAGCCACCTTCAAACGGTTGATGTTGGTCGAACAAAGACTCAAGCCTTCACCCTCGGATTTGAGAACAATTGATTTACTTATTTATTCTTAATTAGGAAGTGAAAAATACTTCAGCAGAAGAAACTCAATCATGTATTTTTACATCGTTATCTAAACTTTCAGAAGCAATCATTGAATAATTTTATGGAGGATCTAGTAGATTTAGTTCTTAAGCATCTTCTTTCAAAAGTCCCTCACGTGTTTCTAGTGAGGTTTGGAAATATACCTTTGGTTGTTTTTGCAATAAACAAACCCCTTTGAGTCTAATAGATGCTCATCGCATTGCGCTTACGAGGGTGAACTAAACACTTGTGATTTTTACACTTGCAAATAAAAACAAGTGAATTTCATTTGCAGTTTCTGTCCAAAATTTCAGCCGTTTGGTAGGCATTGTTTTTATGGGAGAATTTTGTGTAGTTAGACTTAAACGTGGCGTGCGATGAACATTTGTCGGGTCGCGTAAAAACTGCAACCACTGACGAGACCAGACGAAAAGCCAAGATTTCCCAGTTGCTGGTAAATGATCGCCGCATGAAAGGAGGATATAAGAACACCTCAGCTGTTGCCAAATCCGCGAATTATGGTTTGAAATGCTTGATGATCTATCTTGCACTCCAGATCTACCTTCAAATTACTTCTTTTTGTTCCCTTAGGGAAAAGCTCCAGAGGATGGAGTATTTTTACAAAAGAAGATTAAATCACTTTCGTGAACAGTTATTTACAAAGAGAAACAGAGTTGCAAGAAGACTATGTTGAAAAAAAATTTAAAGAGAAAAGTTGGCGTCTTTCCTAGGACTAAGCCACAATTAAAATAATAATTCTAAATTAAAAAAATTAAAAATGTATGAAGAAAGAGAGTTTCACTAGCCAAAAGTGAAACTGAAATGTGGTTACCATACCTTACGATTTGGCCTTTCATTGAAAATATACATTTTTACGTGTGTATGTATTGTGTATTCATAGGGAGGAAAACACAAGTTAGTAAATGAGTGCGATAATTAATTATTCAATATTTCACAATATTATAATAATTTTTTTCTGCACACGATAACATGCTTGAAAGATATAGTCATTCATATGTGCACGCATATGTACACATGAGTGTATACAATATACAAGCGCATGATTATAAATCGGAGAGTTTTACTTCTTGGAAAGTTGATAAAAGATTATATGCCTCACAATATTATATTTACAAGAATTATGGAATTTGAGTACAATCAACTTAGAGATTAAACATTAAAGTTGTTTTTAATATTTATCTTTTATGAGTCCACATAAATATACATATATAATTTGTGCGTAAGAAAATGTGATATTAATGATGACTAAAGCTCCCTCGCCCTAAGTAGCAATTTCAAACAGGAAATCTTCAAAAGTATTCAAACATAGAAAAAACCTCACGTTATTCTAAGAATTTTTTTCGATCGACCAGTCTTTTTAGAAGAATACCCCCAATACTTTAAAAACGTATTTCTCTCAAGGTTACCTCAGTAATATTGAAATAATACGAAAATATTATTTTTTATATGCATTTAATTTTAAATATTAATCTAAAATATTTTGTTTTACTTCCATTCGAATTATATTTGGTTTATTTGAAGATATAGTCTTGAAAATTTACACAATAAAACGAAGACACCGTCTTGCCCAAATAAACCTTTGTTATATAAAGAACGATTTTGCCTCGGTGAAGCTATGAGTTAACCAATTATGTACATAGATATGTAATTACAAAATATTATTATCAAGAGTATAAGATGATTGATATATATTTATTGGATGAGTGTGTAAGTTCGTGCCCGATTCCGCTGGATGCCGTTCGAATCGTTTGAGAGTGGCGCTCGTGAAAGAAATATATACATATTATATATCGTTGGAAAGGTGACAGTCCGAACTGTAAATCAAGCATAAAATAACTTCATTTTGATTTGAGTTGCTTAGTGAAAAGACGCATGGAAGATGGACACCGAAGAAGATCATATGCGTCATATTATGTTATACGAATTCCGCAAAGGAAAAACAGAAGGCGCTGCAACTAAAGATTCGCGAAGTTTATATGGACCGTGCTCCAGCACTCCGCACAGCAAAGAAATGGTTCGCGAAATTTCGTTCTAGAGATTTTAACCTCGAAGATCAACCTCGCAGTGGACGGCCTTCTGAGCTTGATGACGATGTTCTAAGGACTTTAGTTGCGAATAACTCACGTATTTCGACGGAAATGGTTGCCAGTGAATTGAACGTCAACAAATCAATTGCGTTTCGTCGTTTAAAAACACTTACACTTACAGGTACACTTTGAAGCTCGATACATGGGTGCCACATCAGTTGAGTGAAAAAACAAAGTGGACCGTATATCAACAGCAATTTCTTTGCTTCGACGGATCAAAAACGAACCTTTTTTGGATCGGCTCGTGACTGGTGATGAAAAATGGATCCTGTACAACAATGTTCAACGCAAAAGAACATGGAAACAGGCACACGAAGGGGCGGAACCGATGTAGAAAGGTGGATTGCATCCGATGAAGGTACTGCTGTGCATTTGGTGGGATGTCCGAGGCGTGATCTATTTTGAGCTCTTGCCAGCTGGAGAAACGATCACTGCCAACAAGTATTGTCAGCAATTGGTCGAATTGAAGAAAGCAATTGATGAAAAACGTCCGATTTTGGCCAATCGCAAAGGAGTTCTTTTCCATCATGACAACGCCAGGCCACATGTTGCAAAACCGACCCTGGCCAAACTGAAGGAGATGAATTGGGAAATCATGCCGCATCCCCCATATTCACCCGACATTGCACCTTCTGATTATCATTTGTTTCGATCGCTGCAGAACAATTTGAATGGAAAAAAATTTAAAAATGTGGAAGACGTCAAAAACCACCTTGACACCTTTTTCAACGAGAAACCGCGCGATTTCTATGAATCAGGCATCCGTAAATTGGTTGAACGTTGGGGGTGGATTGCCGAACATGATGGCGAATACATATTTAATTGATTAATAAAAGCGCTTTCTTCAAAAAATTTCAATTTTAGTTTGCATTTGAAATCGGGCACGAACTTATGCACTCATCCGTTTTGCGGTTTCAAAAATAAACGTAAGTGAAATGCATTTAAAACAATTTGTGTCATGAAATGAAGTGAAAATTTGGGTAATTCGCTTCGCTTTTTTTTGCTCTAAAATTATAAAAAATAGAATAATTATGAATTTGTTTCTGTATTTCAATAAAATACAAGAAATCTACTTTTTTTTTTTGTGAATTTTAATTTTCAATGCCAGTCATTAAAAATCAGTTCTTCTTAAACGGCATTCACTTTATATGGTCAAAGAAGGACATTTTATCGTAAAACAGTATGCACCAGATTTGCCCAATCTTTCAAATGTACTTGTCATTCTTTTTCAGAAGCCAGAATAGCCATGTTAGTCTAAAAATTTATTT